GTATTTGTTATATATGTCAAAAGTGTTTGCGTTGTTTCAAACTTTCACAAGAAAATCCGTGCAAGTGTCAGAAAGATAAAATATCAAGAGTTAAAAAACCACTGCATGGACAACAAATATATCAACGTGCTTATACTACAAACCAAATTTTTCCAAAACTCAATAATTTTTTACTAGATATAAATACTAAATTTGGTTACAATAATAATTTTGAAAAAAACTTTTCCTATACTACTTGCAGTGCTTGTAATAGTAAACTTCAACGATTAAAAACTAGTGATAAAAAATCTCAACTAAAAAGTAACAAAAAAAGCAATAGGAAAGCTCAGATAAACAATGAAGAAATCATTTCAATAGATGATTTGCCAACAGAAAATAGTAAAAGAAAAGTGGGAAGTTATAATAATAAGAAAGAAAACGAAAAAGACAATGATAATGAAATAGAAGATGAAGGAGACGATGATAAAGATTTTAATAATAAAGATGATGATTATTATGACAAAGATAGTGATGTTAATGATGAAAACTATGAAGAAGACGATGATAATGGAGATTATGATGAAGAAAGTGATAATGACAATAAAAAATATGAAGAAGTTGATATTATTGAGGAAATAAAAATACAATTAGTTGTAAAAAATAATAATATAAAAATCCCTACAGCAAAAACTCTAACTATTCGGCCTGCTAGTTATAAAAATTTTACAGAAAAAATAAATTTAGCAACTAAAAAAATTCTAGAAAAAGAAACAAAATCAAAATACAGTTATACTATTTCGTATAAAGCTGTAAATGCACGTGGACCATCAAATACACTTGAAGATAAATTGGATTTTCAGGAATTTATTAGTGAATATCAAAAGGTAACATTAACTGGGAAAAAAATGTCAGTGATAGTGGTAGTAATTGTGAAGAATAACGTGACAGAAAAAAAAAATAGGAAACATAAAAAGGTAAAGTATTTTATGTATAATGCGAGATAATAGGCAAAAATATTTAACATTTATAATTTTTTAGCATTCTGATGATAATATTAGATCATCTTCTGAAGAAATTGAAATACAAACCAAAAAGAAAAAGAAATCTCGTTCACTAAGAGAAGATGATTTATCAAAAGAGGAGAAAAGAAGATCTGAAGTCATTGCTGATTTGGTTGAAATGTATAAATGTGATTTACATTCTACTCCATGTTTTATTCAAGATGGTCGGCATTTGCAGCTTAATCCTTCTAGATTACAACTTTGGGCTCGTGAAATTGTATGTAAAGTATGCTTTTTTATAAATTCAAATGAAAAATGATACCTACTAATTATTAATTTTGTTTAGATAAACAAAGGAACAACCTATGATATTCCTCCATCTTATCCAGTATTTGATATGAAATCAAGTGTATTTATCAATAAAAATAATTCTGCAACGCAAATGCAAAATAGTCAAACATCCAATACGCCTACTCCTATTTTTATTCAATTACCAAGTCAAGTTTATCAAAATCCGACAAATACTCATTTGGAATTACCTTCATCAAGCAAATTACCATCAATTGGTGAGTTTCTTAATAACTTAGACCTGAAATATAATTGTAATAATATATATGCTAAATTTGAAGATGCATTTCTTGAAGAAGAAATTACAGTTAATGCTATAAAAGATTTAACAGATGAGCAATTGCAAAAGTTAGGCGTGGTGAAAATTGGATGGCAAAAAAATATTAAACAAGCAGCGCAACAATATTGACCTAATGTATTTTGATTATCATATAATATAATAAAGATAATATTTCAAATATAAATTCTTGTTCCAGTTTTTTATTTTATTATTCTAAATTGTTTATATTTCTATTTTTTTTTATTCTAAATTGATTATCAAATATAAATTGATGCTTCAAAAAATGCTTGTGCCATTTGAGATGTTATTTGACTACATGCAACTAATAATGCATGTATAGGATCATTATAAGCTTCCATAAAATCACGATTACGCCTGATCCATGATTTGATAGTTGAAAATGCAGTTTCGATAGGATTGAAATCGGGTGAATATAGTGGAAGAAAAACAACATGGCATCCTAATCCTCTTAATAGTGCTATTAATTCATCGTCATGGTGTATTTTTGCCTTATCCATAATAATTACACTATTATTATCTGGATATGGGTTCATTATTAGTACCTAAAGATAAATTTATCAATTAGAATATAAAATAAATAAATAAATAAATAAACTTGTATAATTATTATTTACCACTTGATCAAGAACAAAATCAACAAATCTTTTTCTATCACATGCTCCTTCAAATATATCAACAGCAACAAATCCTTCTAATGTAAGAGCAGGTAAAATTGTATATCTTTTTCCTCGTACAAACACAACTTTTTTATGTGCGTGTATATTGCGAGGAGAATATCCATATAATCTTGATAAACTCCTCTCATCTTTAGCACTTTCATCAAGGAAAATTAACTGGTTTGGGGTGTAATGTTCACCAATAACACCTAAATAATGTGCATGTATAATATCATTTCTTTCCAGTGCTGCCTTATGTAACTGTATTGAATAAAAAATAAATATTTATTTCAAAAATTCATAATATAAATAAATTACTTACTTTTTTTCGAGTAATTCCCATGTATTGAAGTGAATGCCAAAGAGCTGCAATAGATGCTCTTTTTCCAGTTAGACACTCCATTTCATATACTAATTCGTCCAAATACCAGTCTGCTTTTTCTGCTACAAGATTTCTAAGTACAGCCATATCTGCTCTACTAAATAGTTTTCTACTACCAGGAATACCTTTGAAAGGATTTTTAACACATGCCCAACGGTTATATCTCCTTATTATCTTATTTACAAAACCCTTACTCATGTATAATGTATTAGCAATATCTGCAGTAGAAAATCTATCAATGTGAAGATAAATAATACGCCAGCATAAATCTTCGCTAAATTCTTGAGGCATGTTTGAGGCCTTTTAGCAAAAAAAAAAATATATTTATTATGGTTTTTGTCTGTAAATATTTTGAAATCGGATAGAAGGGTTGGAGCCGTTTAGGAATCAGTTAAAATCGGTCTCTAAGTTACTTGTAAAAACACGAAGCGAATAGCAAAAAAATACAACGAATGTGATACAATAATGGCTTAACACTACGTAGATCAAATTTACACAATTTTATATGTATAACGTGATCAATTTTTTTTTGAAATTCTGGAAATCAATTTTTTTTATTAAAATTAAAAAATTGCCGATCACAGTAATTCGAAAACGGCGATAAATTAGTTTAATTAAATTTTTGTTGAGTATTTAATATTTAGTTAAAAAAGAAATAATGGAGAAATATTAAATTCTAACCCATGGGAGAAATGAAAAACGGTTTTACCACAGCAGCATGAAAGGATGTCCACAATACTATATTTTCGTTTTCGGTCAAAGAAAAAGGTTGAAAGAGAATAAAAAGGTTGTTTTAAAATATTTATATAATTTGTATTATTTAATCGTTTATTTATGATATGTTATATGATTTATATCATCTTGTTAAGTCATCTGTTTTTATTTTATTTATATTAAATGATATTTTTAAATATTATTTATGATAATATTATTGCATCAAAGTATTAAGAAAGTCTTTAAAAATTTTTTTTATCGATCACCTTAAAAACCTATGCACATGGTAACACGATTTCTCTATTTAATTTCATTATTTTTGGATAACAAAGGAAAAATTTTCTTTATGAAGATCGTTATAACTATTCGTAATTTTAAACGAAGATTAATTTTTTCCCTTCCCTTTCTTTCCTTTTTTTCACATATCCCTCTCTTTCTCGTCTTCCTTTCTCTTTGCTCTTTCTCTCTTTCTCCCTTTCCTTTTTTCTAGGTGTTCTTCAGTCTCTTTAGACGTGACATTCTGCCTTAGACTCGCCATTTTGGTATAAAGACTTGATTTTTTTTTATTTTAATTTTTTTATTAATTTTAACGAACTTTACTAATAGTTCTTTTCTTTTTTATTTTGTAGGTGATCAATTCTTTGGATTTTGAGGGGAGGGTATTAATATTTTTTGAAAAAAATAACGAAACGATCAT